AGTACCGCAGCTGCGGGTTTCATCTTCAGTGGAACTCCCCATAGGACCACGGAACGTGTGAGGGGAGTGCCACACCGAGATGGGTGCCACTGGGGCATTCGGTGAAGCTCCCTATGGGGACATGAGACACGCGCGGGGCGTGCCGACATGGGTGGCGGAAGCGCATGTGAGGGCCGCCACTGGGGCCTCCATTGGAGCGCCCTATGGGTCCCCGAAACATGATGCTGCTGCGGGGGGGGGGCCGGGATTGGCGGAGACGCATGTAAGCGCCGCTACTGGGGCCTTCGGTGGAGCTCCCTATGGGACCACGAAACGCGTGAGGCGTGTACTGGGATGTGTGGCGGGGACGCATGTGAGCGCCGCCACTGGGGCCTTCGGTGGAGCTCCCTATGGGGCCGCGAAACGTGTGAGGGGTGTGCCGAATTGGGTGCGGGTGGTGACGCATGCGGGCGGTGCCACTGGGGCCTTCGGTGGAGCTCCCTATGGGGCCACGAAACCTGTTGTTGTGAGGGGCGTGCCGGGATGGGTGGCGGGGACGCATGTAAGCGCGGCCGCTGGGGCCTTCGGTGGAGCTCCCTATGGGGCCACGAAACGTGCGAGGGGTGTGCCGAAATGGGCATGCGGGACGCATGCGGGCGGCAGCACTGGGGCCTTCGGTGGAGCTCCCTATGGGGCCACGAAACGTGTGAGGGGTGTGCCGAAATGGGTGTGCGTGACGCATGCGGGCGGCATCACTGGGGCCAGCTCCCTATGGGGCCACGAAACGTGTGAGGGGTGTGCCGAAATGGGTGTGCGGGACGCATGCGGGCGGCAGCACTGGGGCCTTCGGTGGAGCTCCCTATGGGGCCACGAAACGTGTGAGGGGTGTGCCGAATGGTGTGCGGGACGCATGCGGGCGGCAGCACTGGGGCCTTCGGTGGAGCTCCCTATGGGGCCACGAAACGTGTGAGGGGTGTGCCGAAATGGGTGTGCGGGACGCATGCGGGCGGCAGCACTGGGGCCTTCGGTGGAGCTCCCTATGGGGCCACGAAACGTGTGAGGGGTGTGCCGAAATGGGTGTGCGGGACGCATGCGGACGGCAGCACTGGGGCCTTCGGTGGAGCTCCCTATGGGGCCACGAAACGTGTGAGGGGTGTGCCGAAATGGGTGTGCGGGACGCATGCGGACGGCAGCATGGGGCCTTCGGTGGAGCTCCCTATGGGGCCACGAAACGTGTGAGGGGTGTGCCGAATGGTGTGCGGGACGCATGCGGTGCCTTCACTGGGGCCTTCCGAATCGCGCATGCGGGCGGCAGCACTGGGGCCTTCGGTGGGGCTCCCTATGGGGCCACGAAACGTGTGAGGGGTGTGCCGAAATGAGTGTGCGGGACGCATGCGGGCGGCAGCACTGGGGCCTTCGGTGGAGCTCCCTATGGGGCCACGAAACGTGTGAAGGGTGTGCCGAAATGGGTATGCGGGACGCATGCGGGCGGCAGCACTGGGGCCTTCGGTGGAGCTCCCTATGGGGCCACGAAACGTGTGAGGGGTGTGCCGAAATGGGCATGCGGGACGCATGCGGGCGGCAGCACTGGGGCCTTCGGTGGAGCTCCCTATGGGGCCACGAAACGTGTGAGGGGTGTGCTGACTTGGGTGTGCGGGACGCATGCGGGCGGCAGCACTGGGGCCTTCGGTGGAGCTCCCACTGGGGCCACGAAACGTGTGAGGGGTGTGCCGAAATGAGGAGGGAGGAGGAGGTGGCAGCGGGAGGAAGGAGACGCGGGGCACCGTCTCTTCAAAACGAGGACCCAACACCACAGGATGGTTGGGAAAAACAAAACAAAACATGTTAACAAAAAGCAAGGCATTCAAAATTCTAGGTTGTCGCGTAGAGATCGCAGCCCCGCAGCGGGGCATATAACAAAACTAGGTTTTTAAACACAAGAACCAGGGCAGCGACGCGGCATGAAACAAAACAAGGTTTCGTCTGGGAGTTGTGCTGGGGGGAGATCTAGGCGAAGATCTGGGGGAAGATCTGGGCGCAGATCCGAAGGACAAAACCTGGGGAAGATCTGGGGGGAGATCCGGGCGAAGATATGAAGGAAGATCTGGGCGAAGATCTAAGGGGGCATCAGGGTGTAGATCTGCAGGAAAATCTGGCGAGATATCCGAAGGGAGATCCGGGGGAGATCTGGGGGGAGATCTGGGCGAAGATCCGGCGGGAGATCGGGGAGAATATCTAGAGGAACATCTGATGGAAGATCTGGGGAGATTTGAAGGAAGATCCGGAGGAAGATCCGGGGGGGGGGGGCCTCTGGGGGAAGATCTGGAGCATCTGGCGAGATATCTGAGGAATGCGTGGAGGAAGATCTGGGCGAAGATCTGGGGGAAGATCCGAGGAACATCTGGAGGAAAATCCGAAGGGGGATCTCGGGGGATATCTCGGCGAAGAATTGGAGGAAGATCTGGGCGAAGATCTGGGAGGATATTGGCAAAGATCTGGAGGAAGATCTGGGGAAGATCTGGATGAAGATCTGGGCGAAGATCTGGTGGGAGATCTGGGAGAAGATCTGGGGGAAGATCTGGGGGGAGATCGGGGGGAAGACCTGGGCGAAGATCTGGGGTGAGATCTGGGGCAAGATCTGAGGGGGAAAAACTGAAGAATCATCTGGGGGAAGATCTGGGGGAAGATCTGGAGGAAGATCTGGGAGGATATAGGAAACAACCGAGGGGAGATCTGGGGAAGATCTGGGGAAGATCTGGGGGGAAGATCTGGGGGGGGTATCAGAGGGAAGATTTGGGGGAACATCTGAAGGGAAGATCTGGGGAAAGATCCACGGGAAGATCTGGGGGAAGATCTGGGGGAATATCAGGGGGAAGATCTGGAGGAAGATCTGGGGGGAAGATCTGGGGGGGGTATCAGGGGGAAGATTTGGGGGAAGATCCTAAGGGAAGATCCGGGGGAAGATCTGGGGGAAGATCTGGGGGAATATCAGGGGGAAGATCTGGAGGAAGATCTGGGGGAAGATCTGGGAGGAAGATCTGGGAGGAAGATCGTTGGGAAGATCTGAGGAGATCTGGGGGGAGATCTGGGGAAAGATCCGGGGGAAGATCTGGGGGAAGATCTTGGGGAAGATCTGGGGGAAGATCTGGGGGAAGATCTGAGGGAAAATCTGGGGAAAGATCTGGGTGGAAGATCGTTGGGACGATCTGGGGGGAGATCTGAGGGAAGATCTGGGGGAAGATCAGGGAAAATATCTGGGGGATGATCTGGGGGAAGATCTGGGGGAAGATCTGGGGCAAGATCTGGGCGAAGATCTGGGGAATATCTGGGGGAATATCTGGTGAAATATCTGGGGGGAGATCTTGGAAAGAGATCTGGGGGAAGATCTGGAGAAAAATCAGGGGGAAGATCTGGGGGAAGATCTGGAGGAAGATCTGGAGGAAGATCAGGGGGAGATCTGGGCGAAGATCTGGAGGAAGATCTAAGGCAAGATCTGGCAGAAAATCAAGGGGAAGATCTGGGGGGAAATCTGGGCGAAGACCTCGGGAAATCTTGGGGGAGATCTGGTGGAAGAAAATCCGGAGGAAAATCTGGAGGAAACTCTGGGAAATCACTCGCGCGATGACGGCAGAGCATGAAACAAAACAAAGATATTCAAACATATGATTTTAGAGTAGATCCGCGAGGCTGAGTGAAAACGAAAACGGAGGCGCGCCGCGCGAAATGCGAAGACGCCGTGAACAGAACACGGGCGCAACAAACAAAACATGGCCACCCTTCTCGCACACAAACAACGCGTGGACAAAACGCACGGCTCGTGCCCGCGCGAGAACAAAACACCAAACACAACATAGGCCTCATTCCTCAAACGGGCAGGCCCGCGCCTACTGTGTAGTGTCCGCGCAAAACGTGTTCCCGAACGCGTTTAGAACGGAAAAAAACGAAAACAACAGGAACAACAACAAGTAAACAGTGTTTAGCTTGAGCCCTGTGAAGAAGATCTGAGCAAGATCTGAGGAAGATCTGGAGAAGATCTGAGGAAGATCTGAGGAAGATCTGAGGGGAAGATCTAGGTGAAGATCTGCGGGGAGATCAAGGGGAACATCTGGGGGAAGATCTGGGTGAAGATCTGGAGGACAATTCGGAGGAATATCTGGGGGAAGATCACCGTGGCCATTTAAAAAACTAGGTTTCCGAGTATCACTCGCGCGATGACGACACGGCGTGCAACAAAACAAGGAATTTAAGCCATATTGTTTTAGAGGAGGTCTGCGAGGCTGAGCCCGGGCATGCCGACCTAGTTGTTTGAACTCCTTGTACGACTACGACTACTACTACTACTACTACTACTACTACTACTACTACCACTACTGCTGCTGCTGCTACTACTACTACTACTACTACTACTACATTACTACTACTACTACTACTACTACTACTACTACTGCTACTACTACTACTACTACTACTACGACTACTACGACTACGACTACTACTACTACTACTGCTACTACTACTACTACTACTACTACTACTACTACTACTACTACTACTACTACTACTACTACTGCCACTACCACTACCACTACCACTACCACTACCACTACCAATAGCACTACTACAACACTAGCACTAGCACTAGCACTAGCACTAGCACTAGCACTAGCACTAGCACTAGCACTAGCACTAGCACTACCATACCACTACCACTACCACTTATACCACTACCACTTACTACTACTACTACTACTACTACTACTACTACTACTACTACTACTACTACTACTACTACTGCTACTGCTACTGCTACTGCTACTACTGCTACTACTACTACTACTACTACTACTACTACTACTACTACTACTACTACTACTACTACTACTACTACTACTACCACTACCACTACTACTACTACTACTACCATCCTCGCATGCCTCCCGTTCTGCATACTGCCGTCCTCCTCCCGCGGCTTCCCTGTTACAAATTCGATCCTCACGTGTAGAGACGAGATCGAGGTACCCTTTTGACATGCAAACGGTGTAGCGACACGATCCCGACGCCGCCGAGAAGACCAGGCAGGCAGCCACGGGCCTTAACAGAGCAGGGCCGCGCAAATGGTCGCCTGGGCTCAAACACTTCTCGTCCCACTGCTCTTCCACCCTCTCCTTATCGTCCTCCTCGTCCCTTCATCCCTCCCGCCTCCTCCTCCTCCTTGCTCCGCTCCTCTTCCTCCCCCGCCTCCTCGTCATCTTACTTGGTATAGGGCTTCACCCCTCCTCTTCCCCAACCCTCCTCGCCATCTTACCCCTCGTTCCCTCATCCTCCTTCGCCTCCCTTTCATTCTCCTCTCCTTCTCCCCCTCATTCTTCGCCCAGCACCCCCTCCAGACTCCCCAACCCCCCCCTGCTTCCCTGGACTCCTCCTCCTCCTCCATGCCCTCCTCCTGGCCCCTCTACCCTCAACACGTTCCCTCCTCCTCATCCTCCGTCTCTTCTTCTTCTCCTCCTCCTCCTCCTCCTTTTTCCTCCTCCTCATCCGCATCCTCTTCTTCCTCCTCCTCCTCCCCCACTCCTCCTCCTCCTTCCTCCTCCTCTCCTCCTCCTCCTCCTCCTCCTCCTCCTCCCTCCTCCTCCTCCTCCTCCTCCTCCTCCTCCTCCTCCTCCTCCTCTTCCTCCTCCTCCTCCTCTCACCCCCTCCCCTTCACCTCCAGTTCCACCTTCACCTCCTCCTCATCCTCCTGAGGTCCTGAGGGGTAGCGCTCCCGCTCATTAGCATCGTCATGTTGATATTCCTAGTCCTATTCCTTCTCAGATGTGCTCCCCTCCTCTGCCTTTTCCTGACTCTCCCTGTTCTTCACCCCCTGCCCTCCATTTCCTCATCAACCCTCTTCCTCCCCGCCCGTTTCTCTCTTCTCCTCCTCCTCGTCCTCTTCCCTTTTCTCCCACTCGTAAGATGTTTCCTTCTACGTACCCTCCCGTCCTTGTGCCTAATTCATATCGCGTCTCATCCCCGCCTTCCCATACCGCCTCTTTACCCGCATGGTTTTCTGTGTTGTCCTGCTCCCCTCCCTTCCTCATTTGCGCCTCCTCCTCCTCCGCGAAGATTGCTTCTACAATCGAGAAGACGCCCAACATTCAGAACGAAGACTGAATAAGAGACAGACGCTGGGCGCATGACTCCGGAGACATCGCCGCATCTTCGTGATCATCTTCTCCTAGCAGACCTCCAACCGCGAATCCAGCGCGCGTGAGATGCTTGACGTACAAATTCAAATACCGGTCGCCCCGCTGCGTGCACCCATGGGCGACTTTGAGTTCGATCTTCCCAAACGATGTCCATTTCAGACTCCTGTCACTCGCATCCTGAGCTTGGAAGCGAAGACCGCCAGTCTGCAACGCCTGCGCCCACACACCGGTTATATTCAGGTCTTCGAAATCCGCCATCGCGTTCGCAATCCAACAGGCGCGTGCCAAGCCAATGGCGGTACGGTAGGTTCGCGTGGCGTCGGCTCGCGCATTTCTGACACCGCGTCGATCGTTCATCCCCCGATCGTTCAAGGTTGAAATCAGCAGGGTCCAGTGGCGTTACCGCGTCCCTCGGTGCTTCCGCGTCGCAGAAGTCAACCTTGAACGCCTTCGCTGGCGTCGCCGGCGCGCCATCGCCGCACGAACCTACCGTACCGTCATGGTTGAAGGGACCGCCAGGAATTACGATACGAACGCCATGATCCAAGGCTGTGTTTAAAGCTTCTGCAAGATCTGCTTTGCACCCGAAACCAAATTACAAAATTGTCCGAGCGAAGAACCTCAGCCATAAGCAACTGGCCGCATCGCAAGGCAGGTGGGATGACGGAGGGGGAGCTCGCGACGAGGCCACAGAACATGTGAGAGGTGTGCCGACATAGGTTGGGGGAAAACCATCTGACCCTACACCCATCTGGGGGCTTCGGTGGAGCTCCCTTTGGGGCCATGCAACGTGTAAGGAGTGTGCTGAAACGGGCGAGGGGTCGCTATGTGACCCCTGACACCATCTCCCTGGCGGCTTCGGTGGAGCTCCCTAGGGGCCGCGAAACGGGTGAGGAGTGTGCTGACATGAGCTATGGGATCGCGACGCTATGTGCACCTCCCCACGCCACGCTCCATGTGGGGCCACGGACGTGTGAGGAATGCGCCGAGATGGGCATGCGGAGAGCAGAGAGAGGAGGAGGGAGGAAGAGGAGAGGAGACGCGAAAACACAATTCACGCAACTCCGTGTTCCCCCAGCTCGAGCACTGGCCTGGACCAACGCCAAGACGACTTCAGACTGGCCAAACCGACCCCTTCCGTGTGCCAACCCCGAACAAACGGCATCACACCGCTCGAATACACCATTCATGTGTCGCTCTACGGCACCACTCCACCACGCATTCCAAAGATGGCGTGACGACCCAAACGGGCCGCCGATAAGCCCTCGTGGGAACGCAAAGCGCAGCAACAACTTGTTACTTTGTCGGGGTATTGATTTACTTGAATCACACTGGGCACGGAGCGTGCCTCATCATGACGATTGCTACAGTCGCCATCCCCATCCCCATCATCAAAACCACAGACGCGTCACATAGAAGCTACTGTTGCTCCTCCCCCTGTGTGGTAAAAGAAATGGAACTATGATGCAACAGCCGTTCCGCTTCTAGATGCGCGCCACGTTATCAATATAACCTTGTTGTGTGCAAACGGAGCCTATTCGCGCACAATGTTTATGTGGATAGCTGTGTTCACACAAGGTGTTGGGTTGAGCTGGGGGGTCGGTTTCAATTATTACTGAGAGTTCGAGTTCCACTGCAACGATCCCGGCGCGACCCAACTAAGTTCCACCATTATCGCGAACAAGGTCAAAGCTGGCACATCGTTGCGCTTACTCTCTAGCGAGGGATGAATGGAACCGGGGACATCACAAAACACAAACGGGGCAACAGACCTGGCCATCACCGTCATCTACATAATTTCTGTCGCCGCCCAGCTGCGTCTTGCCAACAAGCTGGAGCGGCTGAACTGACGACTTCGCTACACATGGCTTGACACTTCTAGAATTTTACCCAACCCCCAGCCGAGGCCCCAGTGAAAGACACCCAAACGCTGTTGATGATAATTTACTGTGCTGCGTGACCCTTCATCCTGCATTTCAGGAATAGATTGCCCCTGTCCAATCAGTATCGACCCCTCCCCACACACCTCACCCCTGTCAGCTACGAGTCGCATGCCGTGCACATGCGCTGATATCAGAAGTGTTTGTTCTAGGAAACCCTCGCGGGTGAAATTCCTTGTGGGATGCAGACGTGGACGCCATTGAGTAGTTACACGCCATACATCGCACTGGCACCGTACCGAGGTTGCACACCATCGGTTCTCATCCGAAAAGAACAATATCACCCTCACCCCCCGGGGTTATCGAACCCCTCTGGGACACAGCAAATTGCACACGATCCGACCCCATTGTTAATTTTCCGCATGGCCCCATACCATCCCAGCTAGGCCGGGTATCGCCTCCCTCGTCCCTGTCAAATGTTTGTCGCAAAAGATACCGTCCAACCAGGCCATTTGGAAGCAAATGCGCAGAACCTTCGTACGCGCACACGCCGAATTTGTACCAGCACACACACAAGTTCAGCAGTCATTCCAACATCGAACATCGAGACCCCCCAGGCGTTCGATGACAAATGCTGCAGGCTTCCTGCCCGCGCGCACTTGCTGAACCCATGGAGCAGACATATGGCTGTAGAAATCTCATCGCATCCAGAAGCCGCACTCTCATTTCACCACGCGGTAAGTCCGCATTGATACAGCACGCGCCCGGTGCAGGAATCCGTGTCAAATAAAGCCATGCGGGCGACACGCGCGCGTCGCCACGCGCGCGAGTCAAAATCCTTCCAAAAAAACATGAGGTACCGACGCACTCCAATCAATAGCTCTTCAATTACAGATGCAAAAACATGTGTGCTTTCAACAAAAAGCTGTCGGTTTCCTTGGGTTTCCGCACGCGCGCATTTCCTCACCATCACACTCTCACCAACACAACCACATCACTGCCACTAACGTCTTCGCCAATCGCCGCCATTGCCGCCGTCATCACCAACCAATCACCTTGAACACCGGCGCATGGATCTCATCATGGTCACCGTTATTACCGGCATTGGCGACATCGTTGACCTTGACGTCGCCATCGTCATCAACGCCACCACCATCGCTACTATCATCATCGTTACCACCGTTGACGGCGTCAGCGCCCGCCACAGCCACCGACCCGCGCTGAAGCGCCCGCGCGCCAGCGCGAATTCTGAGGCGCACTACTGCCACCAGTAGGCGACATCGCGGCCGCGTCGGCTGTGCCAAACCAGCTGGTCGCTCTGCGCGCGAGTTTTCGCGCGCCAGCGCAACCGTTGAGATGCGCCAACCAATGCCAAGGAGTCACCGCAATCACGGCCGCATGGCTTGTGCAAAACAAATTGCGGGTGGGAGAGTGGAATGATTGCAAAGAACAATGGAATTGACGGCTTCAAATTCAGCAGGGTGAACTGCACCACCTAGACACCTAGATTGCGCCCTGCACAGATTTACACAGATCACCAAGGTGGTCTGCGCCGCAAGTACATCAGATCGAGAGTGACATGATCTGCTGTTCGTGGTCACGACTGGCAAACACCTCTCTACCCCATGATGCCCTACCGTGCTCTGGTCGGCTCTACCCTAACCATACACTGCCCATCACCCTAGTCTAGCCTACCCTCATCACTCCCAGCACACTTTACTCAATGCTATTCAACTCCACTCCACATCGCTTCACTCTGCTCGACTGACCCATCCTATCCTGCCCTTTGTTTTCATATCCCATCGCTCCCTTTCCTACCCCATCCTCTCAACCTCTCTTCTGCTGACTCTGCTGGTTCTCCTCCTCCTCCTCCTCCTCCTCCTCCTCCTCCCCTTCATTATCCTCATCCTCGCATTCATTCTTCTCATGTTCCTACTCTTCCCCACCATCCCTGCAAATGAACACCAGCATAACATTACGAGCACCCTCGGCGTATCAACTAAACGATACGGACAGAATGCGCACCTCCGCGCATGAGCATCGAAAACCCTGCGCAACTTTCAACTCATCATTCAAACAAGCGCGGCCAGTTCTTGCAAGCTTACACCCATGATGTGGTTAGAGGCCTCCTAGATGGGGTCAGAGTAGATGGGGTCGGAGGATCGCGTCGCATCGCCGATACATCGGCGATGCATCGGCGATGTATCAGCGATGCATCGGCGATGCGCTGGCCATGCATCGTCGACGTGGGCGACGCATCGGCGACGTCGACGTCAAGCAAATCGGGCCCCACATCGAGCCGCATCGCCGATGCATCGTCGATGCTGCACGATCCTCCGACCCCATCTGCTCCGACCCCATCGAGGAGACCTAGAGTGGTGTTGCCGAAAACCTCAGCTGCATTCTCTGGCGCGGTGGCGGATGGGCGCGTCAGCACACATGTATAGATATCCGCGCACGCCCCACCAGATCGGCGGGCCTCGGCCTCTACACGAAGCAACTCGCTCCCTGCACGCCCTCCCCGTGGAATGTTGATCAGAACGTGGTTCCCGGGCTTCATCAGGTCGAAGCGCTCACCATGGATGTTTTGCAAGTGAGGATCACCAGTTGCAGTCACTGTGCCTCCAAATGATGCTGAAATTCCGCTGGTGATACTGGTAAGATCCAGAGTCGGACCAGGGGTTGGAACACTAAGACTGGAAGTCGGACTGGGAGTCGGAGCAGTCGGGCTGGGCGTTGGCTTCATGGTCATGCCGAAGGCTGGACTGCATGGATCTGACGCAAGATCGGTGTAATACTGCAAAGACGCAATTACAGGGATAGTGATCCAATCCGGATCTCCATCTGGGAACCACCACGCGTCTTCGGCATAGCACTCACCAGCTTGCGTACTTGAGCCAGGGGTTCGATATGTAGCTCCCCTGGAGTTCGGGTAGTTCGTCAAGACCAACACGATGCAGTGATGGCAAGACTCTGTAGTGCCCACATAGGTATTAGGGCCTCCGCCTTGGCCGTCTCCTTGGACCCAGCTCGCGCACGTTGGATCCGATGGCCACATGCTGTAGCCACCCGTCAGACCGCACGGGACAAGCCCCGGACCCGGAGCTGGGGGCAGCGGCACAGGCGTCGGACTGGGAGCTGTGGCCACACCCCCAGTTGCCGACGTGGGCGTGAAGGCTCCTGTCCCCGTGGCCGACGTGGGCATCCAGGCCCCTGTCCCAGTAGCGGACGTGGGCATCCACGGCCATGCCCCAGCGGCCGACGTGGACAGCAAGGGCCAAGTCGGGCTGGGAGTTGAAGAGAAATCGCATATCAAGACCAAATCTTTCCAGCCGTTGTCCGGAACCCGCGCGAATTCATTCGCGTAGTCGCAATGGTTCCACAATGGATCCAGCGGTTCAGCTGCGCATCTACTGAAGAACTCCTGTCTGTTGGCATTCAAAGAAGGCAGAGCAAGCTCGAACTCCGCTGGTGTGGCGTAGCGCAGTCCAGGGCAAAACGACTTGTACTCGGAAAGCTCCCGAAGCGTAGAACACCCGCCAGAGCACGGAGAAGCCCACAGAAAACAGTGGTTGTCGACAAAGTAGCAGTAATCACCTAGGCCAGCTTCTCGCATGATTCGGGATTTGCTCCCTTGGGGACCTTTCGGCCAACAGAGACTCCAATGCGACAATGGTGAATGCCCTGTGATGGTGATGTCAGACACTGGGACGGAGTACCGTGCTGATATCATAGTGCTGTTGAACCCAACCAAGGAAGCATTCCAAGAGTCGGTGATGGACAAAGGGATAGCAATGGCCAAGTCCACAATCACTTTGCACGAGCCCAAGCCAGAGCCGACAATGCAGTTATCCTCCCTCCTGCACGTTATGTCACCATATGTGTTGATTCCCTGTAGCCATTCCTTGTCATCAGCGCTTCGCTTTACCTCCTGGGCGTCGACGAGAACGAGAAGTGCTGTCGCGACATACCCAACGCAATGCATTTCTGATGGTTGTACGGTTTAGTAAAGTAGTGTAGGAAAGAAAAGCGTATTTTGTGGAAGGAAAAGGCGCCAACGAACGCCCCTGAACCAACGTGGATACGAAGGGAGAGCAGAATGTGGAGGGAGGAGAAGCAACACTACTGGACTGGGGAGACTCGGAACCCTCCCCTGCGAAACAAGCAAATTGTGGATATGGGCAACCGTGTAGGCCCAAGCTCAGGTGCAACATGGATATGACTGTCAAAAGCCAAGCGGTTAGGACTCGATCCATGCACGACACCCAGCCGCGGTATGGGAATCATGGCCAAGAGGCAATAGAAGTGAGCCCACCCTGTTAAGAACGGATCAACATTCCACACAGCAGGCCTACTGGGAGAAATCATAATACGGTTGTGCATCTGGCACACGATGGCTCCATGATGGAGTGGGAATTCCCAAAATCCTTCCAGTGAGCTGCTCCAAGGTCCCTCCAAGTGCCCCAGCGGCGCCTTACACATCTACTCAGACGCCCCAGGCTGCCTTCAGAATCTTCGGAAATGGCCTCTCAGATCTCCTTCAAAAACCCCTGAAGGTGAGGACATACTAAGTTGCTCAATGTTTTCTCCTCTCCCCCCCCGAGGCCGCAATATTGTTCCAAGACGGCCTTCAGATGTCGCAGGATGACTCCCAGAGAGCCCAAGATACCCCCTGGTATTGCAAAAGGTGGCCCAGCAGGGCTCAAAGATGGCGCCTTTCTTCCTACCTTTCTCTTCACACTCCTACAATCTGGGGCCTGGAACTTCTTTGGTTGGCGTGTCTCGCTTGGCTCATTCGCTTGCGTGGTGCCCAGTCGCGGTATCGGAGGTTTGGGGATTGCGACCGAAGTGAAATGCGAGGTGCCCCGACTGGGAACTGAACTCGTTTCGTTGCGTGCGCGACGTGCGTGCGGGCGAGGTGTAGCTGCGCAAATGCCTCTTCTTTGTTAGGGGCCAAACTAAAACCAAACCGTCTCGCCACTCGTGTCCGGTCCGTGGCCACCGGTTGCCCCTGGGTTGTCCCGCCAGCTTTCCCGATACCCGGTGGTTGTCCCAATGGTTGTCCCAATAGTTGCCCCAGTGGTTGCCCCAATCGTTGCCCCGATGGTTATACCAATGGTTTCTCCGATGATTATCCCGATGGTTGTCCCGATGGTTGTTCCGATGATTATCCCGATGGTTGTCCCGATGGTTGTCCCGATGATTGTCCCGATGGTTGCCGCGATGACTGTCCCGGTGACTGTCTCGACAACTGTCCCGATAGATGTCCCGTTGGTTACCGCGATGGCTGTCCAGAGTGTTGTCCCGATCGATTGATAGCAAGATAGGCAGATGGGCTGGCAGTTTAGAATTCAAACAATAATACCGATAGACAGTGAGCCTGATACATACATGCCAGATGGCCGCCCCGATAGATGCATCGTAGGATCAACACTAATATGGCTGTATAGTGAAGCGGCTTGATGATTGTCCCGATGGTTGTCCCGATGGTGGCCCCTATGGTGGCCCCTATGATGGTCCCGACAATTGTCCCGACGGTTGTCCCGATGGTAGTAGTCCCGATGGTCGTCCCGATGGCTTCCCGTTGGTTGTCCCGTTTGTTGTTCCGACGGCAGCCCCGATCAATAGTGAGATCGGCAGACAGATTGGTCGTGAGATTAGATCGTGAGTTCGAGCGGTAGTGAGACCAGTAGTGTTCGATGGAGAGGGTTGTCCCGATGGTTGGCTCGACGGTTGGAAGGTACACAAACTGACGGATGGACATACATGTACATAGATGGGAGACATCTAGATATATACTTACACATGTACGTGATGAAGCAATGCCGCAAATAGGTACATACACATATACATGCATGCATGCACGCGTACATGTATACACACATGCATACATACATACCTACGCTCGTACGTACGTTTGTACATACATACATACGCACGCACGCACGTGCATATATATATATATATATATATATGTATATATGTGTACGCACGTACGTACGTACGTACCTATATATATATACAGACGTATATACATTCATAACTATACATTTAGATACATATATACATATATATAGAGAGGGAGAGATTTCTGCCGGCCCCCTTCCGGGGGCGCAAGGCTGCGAAGGTGTGTGTGTGTGTGTGTGTGCGGTTTGCTGTCATGTGTTATGTGTTGCCATTTGTTGTTTGGCCTTTTGTCTCTCGAGTCCTGTTCCCTGCTTCCTGTCTACTGTCAGTTGCGGGGCCCCGCCGCGTCACCAAACTGCCTTCGGGTGTGTGTGTGTGTGTGAACCTCAAATCCTTCTTTTTTTGCGTTGAGCAAGCGTGGCGCGCGAGGCACGCCGCGTTCTGTGATGCGACTAGGCCAAACATGGATGCCCGAATTGGCGACGTCCACCTCAAATCCAGGCTGCTCCGCGCCACCTCCGGATTCTCATGGAAACGCCACCGCGCGGCCAGAACGGCCACCAGAGGCCCCAAGGCCCCCAGAGGCCCCAAGAGGCCCCGGAGAAGCCCCCAAGAGGCCCGAAAGCGACCCCCAAGAGACCCGACATATTGTTTTTAAGAGGCCCCCAAGAGGCCCCAAGGAGACCCCGAAGAGGCTCCCAAGAGGCCCCAGGGAGACCCCCAAGAGGCCCCAAGGAGGACCCCCGCGCAGCCGCCCGCACTAGTAATAGGGGGCCGGCGGCAGAGCGCGAAACCCTAAAGATATATACATAGGTACACACAAACATACATGCATACGTACATACGGACAGACAGACATACGTGTGCACATGCAAACATACATACATACTACATGCATGCATGCATACATGCATGCATGCATACATACATGCATGCATGCATACAGACAGGCAGAAACATAGACAGGCAGACAAACAGACAGACATATATCGCCACCATGCCTTCAGGCACGAGTTAGAGTGTCTTCAGATCCTTTGAAGTTCTTCGTCCTCAATCCTGAGTAAATGTGTATTACGGGCCCAAACCCCGAACTCCAGTTGTACTGGGGCGTGCCGCGTGCAAGGGGGCGGTCTGGCGTGACTGGGCTTTCGCGGACAATCACGGAGCGAAGAGGGACCCCAAACCGAGCCAAGCGGGTTCCAAGAGGCCCCCAAGACGGTCCAAGAGGGCCCCGAGTCGCCAGAACATATCTCCAAGACGCCAAAGATGGCCTCCGCACGGCCCAAGAGAGTGTCTCAAGACTTTCATAGGAACTTCCGAGAGCCTTTTCACGAGGGCCGCAATAATATAAAGTCATTGATGTCCTTAAGTGTTTGACAGATTTTTGCGTCCCCGCTACTCCAAACTTTCGACGCTCAAGACGGCACAAGAAGCTTCCAAGATCGCCCAAAGATGGCCAAAGAGACACCGAGGGAGCCCAAAAACGACCAAAGAGAGTTCCAAGACGGCCCAAGAAGCCCCGAGACAGCCCAAGAGGGCCCCAAGAAGGCCCCAAGAGGGGCCCCAGAGAGGGAGCACGAAGAGACATTTCGAGCCCTCCGCCCCAAGACAACCTCCGAGACCGCCAGCAGGCACCCAAGAAACGATCTGGAAACTCCAGAAAGCCCCCGAGAGACAAATCAGGTCCCAAGAAGTCCCGAGGAGGTCCCCGAGAGGCCCCAAAGACACTCCAAAACCGGCATCAAGATACTTCCAAGAGGCCTCCCAAGAGATCCCACAAACATCCAAAATGCCTCTGACCTGCAATCGAGCACGGTGTCGGAATTGGGCGAAGCTCACTACATCCGCCGCCCGCACGGCGTGCCGAACGTCTGGCAGGTCTTTGGCTCATGTCCAAAGAACTCCCCGTGGGGTCTCGGCCCAGCCCGCCGTCAACCCGCACAGCTCCCAAAAATGTCGGCCTCCATTGGCCCCATCGGCCCAAAGACGGCCAAGATGACCCACGATGGCTTCCATTGGCCCCATCGGCCCAAAGACGGCCAAGACGCCCAAGACGCATCTAAGAAGGGCAAGAAGGCCCCGAGGGAGCCCCAGATGGCCGAAAGTCCGAGACGGCCAAAGATGCACTCAAGAAGGCCTAAGATGGTGGATAGTTCAGGGTGTTTGACTGTTGCTCCTTTTCGGCCTCCCGACGGCCCACGACGGCCCAACAACCCCCCAAGATCGCCCCAAGATCGTCGCAGATGCCTCCAAGACGTTCCCATGACTGCCCCAGGAGCACCCACGCAGGCCCGAAGAGGGCCCAAAGACAGCCCAAGAGGCCTCCCAGACAATCAAGATAGCCTCCAAGACGGCCAATATGCCCTGAAGAGAGCCCAAGATTGCCGCAGGATCTCTCCAAGACGGACCAAGATGCACGCAAAACGGACTACGATGGCCTCCACATCATGGCCCAGGACGGCCCACGGAGCTCCCAAGACGCCTCTAAGACGGCCCAAGAGGCCTCCAAGAGGACATACAGGAAGACCCGAAGGAGCGGACATAACCGGTTTCTCTTAGGAGTCTGAAGGTTGTTGCCTGTTCCTCCTTGTCGGCCTCTCGACGACCCAAGACGGCCCCCAAGATCGCCCCAAGATTGCCCAAGAGGCCTCCAAGATGGCCCCATGACGGCCTAGGAGACCACCAACACGGCCACAAGAGGACCCAAAGACGGCCCACAATAACTCCAAGGCGCCCAACATGGCTTCCACGACTGCCAAGATGTCCGAGATAGTCCAAGATGACCTCGAGACGTCTCCAAGACGGCTCAAGATGCGCCCAAAACGACCTAAGATGACCTGCAGATGGCCCAAGAAGCCCCTAAGAGGCCTCTAAGACAACCTCAGAGACATCCAAGAGGTCCTCCAGGACAGCCCCGAGGAGCCCGAATCATTGTTTTTCGGTATAGCGTTGATGATGTTGGCATTTTCTCCTTTTCCGACGGCCCAATGCGGACCCAGAGACTCCCAAGGTCGCCCCACGATCGTCCAAGAGGCTTCCAGGATGGCCCCGTGACGGCCCAAGAGACCCTCACGGCAGCCCAAGATGCCCCCCAAGAACGGCCCCAAGCGAGCCCCAAGACTGCCTCAGAGACTTCAGGACGGTCCTGAAGCGCCCCAAGAGGCCTCCA